CCACATCAGAGTTAAAAGAGTTAAACAGGTCTCGAAAGGAGGCCTATTAATTGAAACAAATAAAGAAAATGACCTGGAAATTTTAGAAAAAGAAATCAGTTCTGCTCCAGAATTAAAGGAGGAAGTCCAAATCGTGAGACCACTCAGACGTTCTCCAAAAATTAACATCTACGATATACCAAAGGATATCTCTAAAGGAGAGCTTCTGGAAGCTTTAAAGGCTCAAAACAAAGGACTTGATGGTGATGGATTACAAGTAAAATTTCCAATCAAACAAAAACATAAGAATCACTGGGTGTGTGAGACCACCCCAAATATATTCAAGCAACTAACTAAAATCAAAAAAGTTTGTATTAATTGGGAAAGATTTAATCTAAAAGAATATCTCCGACCAACTCAATGTTTCAAGTGTGAAGTAGGCCACTCACATAAGGAGTGCGATAGCTCAACTCTTAAGTGCATAAATTGTGCAGAAAGAAATGCAAACAACGAGCAGCAATATGACGAAGGACATTCAAGCTTCGATAAAAATTGTCCATGTCGTATACTAGAAATAGAAGAACTCTTGAAGCGCATTAATTATGTATAATTCCAATTGTAACAATTTCATAAGAGCTTTACAAATAAACTTAGCCAGATCTCATGTTGCAACTGCACAACTGAAAACTCACATCTTTGATTACGACTTGGTTTTTGTACAAGAACTGCACTGCATTAATAATAAACCAGTGGGTTTCCCAATACAAACTAAAGTTATCTCAACACCGGAGGGACTTCCGAAGACGGCCATAGTGGTCATGAATCCCCGCCTAACGGTGCTGAATACTATTACCACTCCAACTTTGAACATTATAACTCTGAAAATAGAACAAAGATCACTATTGATCTTTAACTGTTATAGCCCACCAGTCACTGATCTCACAGACTTAACTTCTCTACTAGACTTGGTTGAGAGAAACTTATCAGATAATATCATATTAGGTGACCTCAACGGTAAGAGTGAACTATGGGGCTCTCCATTCGAGGACCCCAGAGGAAGAATGGTCCGAGAATTTTTAGTTTCGAGACAATTCATAGTAGAAAACGACCCAAATGGTCCTCCAACCTATAATTGCTCTCGAGGTAAAAGCTGGATCGATATCACAGCCTGTCGGGGAAATGTGATTCGTGACTGGAGGGTCTTAGACAACCTCTCTTTAAGTGATCATTGCTATATCTATTTTGAAATTTCTTATGATAAAACTACAGATCCTCTTATACGGTGAAAGTATAAGTTGGAAAAAATGGACTGGCTACTGTTTAAAGAAAAACTCGGCAATTATTTTTCAACTATAAAATCGCAATATATAAAAGATACGGTTGACTTAAACGAACTCATAAAAACTTGGACTCTAAAAATACAAAATATATGTGAAATGGCAATAAAAGCCAAAGGAAAATTCCTTAACACACAGCATAAAGGAGTCCCATGGTGGACACAAAACTTATCTATAATGAGGAAAAGAATATTGGCTGAAAGAAAACGTTATCAGCGATGCACTCAAGATGAAGACCTAAGAGCCCAATATAAGCAAATTCACAAAAAGGACTTAGCAAAATACAAACGTAAATTACTGCATTTCAAAAGAACATGCTGCAAAAATCATTTAGAAAATATCGATCCTAAATCATCCTTTGGAATGCACTATAATATTGCAAAAGGAAATATTTCCTTACCATTTCAAATTAAAGCGTTACAAAAACCGGACAATACCAAAACTCAAACAACTGACGAGACCATAAAACTTCTTCTGGAACATCACACTTTCCAGCAGATAACAGTAGTAGAGATTCTTCGAAACACATGTTAATCAGAACTCAATTGAAAAGCAGCTACGGAACCAAACAAGATCTCCCATTTACTACACAGGAGGTAGAAAATACAATTAAATCCTTAAACTATGGTAAAGTTCCAGGATTGGACTACCTTCTAAAAGAGATCATCTTAGAAGCATTTTATGCTAATCCAGCGTTGCATACTGAACTTTATAATGAACTCTTACGACGAGGCATCTTCCCAGAATGCTGGAAAACAGCAAAACTCGTTTTGTTCTCCAAAGAAGGAAAGAATTCCGCACTCCCCGAAGCATACAGACCAATTTGCTTTTTAAATACGTGGAGCAAAGTATACGATAAGTTGATAACCAACAGATTAAATTACTATCTCTTCTCTAACGGCAAAATTAGCCAAAAACAATATGGATTTACAGTAGGAGTATGTTCCACGGATGCAATCAAAGATATTATAAATACGGTCGAAAAAAATAGGAGAAATAATTGTTACACGAATATTATATCTCTTGATATTAAAGTGTGTTCAATAATATCTGGTGGCCTCACTTATTAAATGAACTAAGATCTCTCTTATGTCCTATCAACCTATATAAGGTTATTGAATCTATGCTGGATAATCGTCAAATAGTTTATGAAATTAACACTGAGCATTTCCATCATGTTCAAGAGAAAAGATGTATTCAGGGTTCAAACTCTGGACCCCTATTTTGGAATATTGTAATGAACACAGCTTTAAGAATAGATTATGGAGAAGGTGTTCAGATCCAAGCATACGCGGATGATGTACTGTTCATAGTGACGGGATCGACACATCAACAGATTCAAAATAGAGCTAACTATGCATTAACTAGAATTACAGATTGGGCAAAAACAAGCAAACTTAGCTTTTTTCCGGAGAAATCCAGCTCAATGTTCATTACAATTAAAAAGAGAGGCTCAGCTTACTCTGCCCCCATAATTAAACTGAATGGCATAACAATTAAACGTCAAAAACATATAAAATATTTAGGAATTATTATTGATGAGTGCCTGACTTGGCTTACCCATCTAGATTATATAAAAACCAAGGTTTGTAAAATAATTAATAGTTTGATGAAATTTCCTGGTTTATCCAAAGCGGTCATGAAAGAACTCTATAAACGAGCAATCGAAAGGACTGCAGTTTATGCTTGTGCAGCCTGGTGGTATCCACCAACAGTTAAAATGCGTAACAAAGCCAATACTATTCAAAGAGCGGCTTTATTAGCCATGACTAAATGCTACAAAACTGTCCCAACTTTGGCCCTGCAGACTCTAGCAGGCCTGGACATCAAATTAGACCAGGAGAGTGCAAGTCAGAGGACTAAAAGAGGGTGGTCAGACTTCTCTTTTGAAAATATTAATTTTCCCCAAGAAGCTCTCGACTTCCCAGTGCATAAATGGTATACTAACCCTGCACGGATTAAGACCTACGAATGGAATGACCATCTTCCAACTAATAAAGATTATGAAGTATTTACGGATGGATCAAAGAATGATGAAAGCACAGGAGCAGGATTCTGTGTCTACTGGAAAGGTACTTTACAAGCTGAATATTCATACAAATTGGATAAAAATTGTTCTGTATACCAAGCGGAAACACAAGCGATGAAATCAGCTCTTCAATGGTTAAAAGATCATAAGTATAAAGCCCATCTATATACAGATAGTCAAGCAGTATTAAAATCATTGGCAAAGTTTGACATCTTAAATTCAGAAATCATAGAAGTTAAAAAGCTCGCCTTTATTACTAAAGCAAAATTACATTGGATAAAAGGCCATCGCGGTTACAGAGGAAATGAGAAAGCAGATGAACTTGCTAAAAAAGGAATATCTTCCACGGAGAGAATTAATTGTAAAATTCCACTTAGTAATATAGTGCATAAAGCCAAAGAGCGAGCTCTCATCCTGTGGCAACGCCAATGGCAAGAAGAAGAAACCGGTAGATCTACCTTCAAGATCCTTCCTAAAATATCTGAAAGAAGACACTTTAATGATTTCTTCGTTAATCAGATTCTTGCGAATCATGGAGCCTTTCCCTGTTATTTTAACAGATTTAAGATCAAAAATCCACCAAATCGCTGCCCTTGCAGCTTAGACTCAGCAGATGCACTCCACATGATTTTAGAGTGCCCGAGTTTGGATAGTAAATGACAAGAACTATTTCCTCAAAGTCTAAACTTCGATCTTCTGTGTAAATTAATGTTATTGGAAAAAGGTCAAATTCAACTATCTAAACTTACGGAATATTTATATTCTAATGAAAATACAATCTATGTATAACATTACAATGTAACGGCTTATAAATGTTATGCATAATTCCACAATTTGTATTAATCTAAAATGTAACGAATTGTAATGTTTGTATTTCATACTTTTCTGTATTTTTGAATCTGTATAATTTTTGTATTATTATATGATTATTATCTCTTATCTTTGATATATAGTTTGATCATTGTAATTTTTGTATTTAAATATCAATAAAGACGTTGGCAAGGGCCATACATCTTCTAGTCAGCGAACCTCAAAATTAATGTTAGGTTTAAATCTTTCTAAAAATTTTGTATAACACTTTAGCTATTGCTGGATTAAAAAATTTTTTTAGCCTATGGCTCCGGTGATACCTCAACACTGAGGTGAGGACTGCATATTCCATTCTAATGTTGTTAAGATCTGCCACATTGATGCAATTAACTAAAAGAGGGCTTTACACTACTATTTAAATAATGAGGCCATAATAATAAATAAGTATAAAATGATCAAATAGTAACAACCATTGACAAACAAAGCAGAAAGTTGTGATTGGAAGCTGCATAAATTTAAGGAAATACACAAAACAAGACAACATGTAATAAAAGACAATACAAGGCTAGAGTGACTTTAAAGAATCATATATAAAGAAATGAATATATAAATACAAAGAAAAACTCATTGTAAAGAATCACACCTACAATTGATGACAAAAAGTAAGTTAAACAGACATTATAAAATACAATGAATTTTCCCCTATACTATGTATCTATCAGACTTTAACATTATCCCTTTTTCCAAAATAAATAATATCTATCATATTTCATCTACTTTACAAATTATTCATTCACTACATTATTACATATTTGAAAGAAAAAAAAAACTAATGTAATTCTTACCCAACTTCTTTTAGGCACTGAAGTTCACTGGCTATGCGAGAAGGCCTGCTGGTAGGCACTAAATATTTAAGAGCATAATCTTGCTTTCTACTTAAGTCCCCTTTAACTATTGCTCGATATACTTTGCTAAAGGTACCTAGTTATAAAAAACATGCAAACATAAAGATAAAATTCAATACAATACATAAATGCTTATACATAACAAAAGTTTATATTTTTAAAATGATATTAATAAAACATTTAATCAACATATAGCATTTAGAAACTCTCTAGAACAATTAAATATATTGCATGGAAAATGAGGGAAAATATAAAAGAAAAACTTACTAACACTCTGAGTATTAGTAAAATTTACTATACTTTACTTTTGTTAAAGTTCAGAATTCTTCAATTTGGCAGTCAAGTTATATGATATGGTCAGTTTTTTCCCCTTTAATGTGAACTACACTGTACATTTTTCACACCCTAATATCTATCATATTTTCATGAGAAATACACCACATATTTTCATGAAAAAGTTATAATACTTTTTTAAATTGTTATTTTTATGTCTATAACATTCTCAACCTTTTTTGCCCCATACATCTCTTTCACCACTGCTAGACAATCATCCCTCCTTTTTTGAAAAACTCGAAAAATACATATACACTTCTTTAAATTTTAGATTATACTTTAATGTGAGTGAGTGAGTGAGTGCACCGCTATGATGGCTTCCGACCACGGACATGAACCAAACGGAATTATATACCATCACGGCGGGGAAGACTCCAGAGTAACAAGGTTGAATATTATAAACTAATAACAGTTTTTACATATTGTTAACTGCAAGGCACTAAGCGTTATTCTGGTTATCTGCTTTAAGTTCTGAACTTTTGAAACATTATAATATTATCCACGGTTGTTCTGCTTAGGCAGTGTTCTGAGATTTTCTCTATTTTATCAAGGGCTATTCCGTTTTTGAGTGTGTTAGTCGTCCACATTGCCCAGGCACAGTCCGCTGGTTTCTTCAAGTGCCAGGTTCTTGTATGTACACAATGGAAGTAATAATGGTCCGTAAGGAGTATCCCTAAGTCTGAATCTGTTCAGGTATACTGGGAATGGTCCATGACCTGTCAAGAACTGTGTTAGGCTAGCACAGTGGGTCTTTATTTCCATGTTAACTTTGGCAGTAAGCGAAATGTCCTTCGTCCTACCTCTGCCTCTGTCCATCTACTTTGCCAATTTTGTAGCAGACTTGTCAAAGTTGTTCGCTTAATATGAGACCAAGGAAGTTTAGTTGGTCTTTCTAATATATCCGTACAATTGGCTGCCTGCTTGGCCAGTAGGTCAGCGGCTTCATTGCCTTGAATCCCTGTGTGAGCGGGAACCCATTTTAAAGTAGGTCTTTGCGAAATAGGCATTGTCAGAAGCTGTTTATACTTTAATGTGTTTTAATTAACTAACGTTAAACTAAACAAGAAAAAGGGAAGCCCTTTTGCAAAGAACCCGGTAAATGTAAACATCGCCAATTTTGGCGATAATAGATCAAACTTGGTAACCCAGCAGATTCAACCTATTCGCTTGTTCGAAAGTTGCAACCATTCCTCTTACGTTCATTTTGTTGAATTATGACCGTCGTTGTTCGCAATTGCCGATTTAAATTATTCTTCACTTATTTATTATTTTTTTCGTATTTTCACACTATTTTTATGAACTTTTAACAATAAATAGAAATATTTTCATATAATTGAGGAGGTTTCGGTGACAAATGCTGGTTCGCGGGAGGGGATAAATGATAATTGGTAACACGGCTGTTAACGTAGCGTTAAGCACGCTGAACCATGAGGTTTCCAACCTCTAAAATATTTTGATTTTGTGGGCCGCCAAAATATGCATTTTAACTGCTTAAGACGTGTTTAAACGTTTTTGGAATTTCTTTAAAAATGCTTAAAACGTCTTTACACGAATTTCAAATCGCACGAAAAATGCTCAAGACGTGTATACACGAAGCCCGAATTTCGCGAAGATTGCTTAAGACGTGTTTAGATGACGCGATCTGGTCTTCCTTCCCCTACCTTTCTGCAGGCGGCTGTCAGTTGACACAAAGGTCTTAATAGGGTGTGAAGTCTCTTTGAAAAGAGCACTTTAGGAAAAAGTCCTTAGAGTGAAGTATCTTTGTCAGACAGCAAGTATGTGTGTGCCGACTAAAAGTTTGCGAAAGAAGATAAATCGTTTTACAATTGTTTGCCTTGTGGTACTTTATACAAATGAAAGTCAAAACAGGATCCAACGTTGCTATAGTACATTGCCGAATTTTAGTAGAAACAAGAAAAAATGAGAATTGTAACGGAGGACGCCTTTATGCCTATATGTTATAGAATCAAATATTTTATTTTTGTATTGAAAAATGATTACAATTTCTGATTCGTCAGGAAAAAATATAAAATGTTGCAACCAGCTTTCTTGTTTGCCTTCGTATTTCAAATGCGCGTTATTATAATGGTATATTCTTCTTTTTACATTCTTAAATGTTAAAACTGTGCTTTCAGCATGCCTGAGTTTTGTACTCGTATGTGTGGCTCTATGCTCCGTAGAAATGGCGAACTGACATATAAAAATTATATGAATGTTGAAAGGAAGATATTCTACTCGAAACTTCAACTAAATGGAATAAATGAATACGCCGAAGGAATTTCTAGAAATATTTGTTTTAAAAATTTTATTATTAAGATTTTAAATCCAAAATGTTTTGAAATCTAAAGAAAAAATATGTAATCCTTGAAACATTTTTGGAAAGAAATCTATCGATATAAAATCTCTTAAAATTAATGGAGTGTAAATTAATTAAAACAGTTAGTGTACGGAAGGGTTAGATATACTGCGCACAAAAAATTACAGTCAGAAGATCAATTATTTAAAGATATAAATTAATTACATTAAAAGAATTTAAAATAAATTAACATCTGTCCAAATGTCAATGCTAACAGCAATAGCACGAATGAAAGTTATTCTTTAAATTCCGAACTTAATTCATCCGTCGGTACGCAATGATTGTGTCTTTGCGATTACTTTTCTTATAGATACTACAAAAGGCCGCCAACGAAGTAGCGGTAAAATCGTTGAATACTAATAGTTTGAAGCGGGTTCAAATCCTGACGAATGGATTGCCTGCATACCAGTTTTAGCGAATTTTTTGCTGCCCATGTTTAATGTGAATATGAGCCAATTTCAGTTAGCTTTTCATGATGACGTGCCTGGACTACGAGTCCTCGCTCGGGTTGTGTTTGGTTTGGCTTGTTAGATTATTAAGCACGTGAAGGCGATCTGTCTAAGGGGAGGTATGCTTTCGTGACAGATTTTCTAAGGGAAACAATCTCGCACTACAAAAAGTTAAAACCATAAAAACGCCCATGCAATCAGCTTGTTCACGGGGGTTTGAATGCAGGTCAAACTACCAGTATGTTAAGAGAAGCGATTTCAAGAATGTTTAATTATTTTATTTAGTTTGTCATAAGCTAAATCTCTTCACATTACTGAAATGGCAATAACTTCGAATTATACTATGCTACCACTTTTCCTCTAATATGAAATTTTGAACTTTTCCGTTATCGGACAGCCCACCAGCGACTGAGCGGAGTCTAACGGAACAACTGGTGGTTCTGTCCGGGGTTCGAATCCCGGCAAACGGGCTGGTTGCCAGGATGATATTCTTAGTTTTCCATATGTGTAACATGTATGCAAGCCAATTTCCGTTAGGCAGTCCTCGAACGAAGGCATCCTTCACCTTAGGCAAATAACCATCGAGTACTTTGCCATAATCAAATAAACCTTTATCCATAACATGCTTCAAATATTTTTATGTTGAAAAGTTCATGCGCCAAAGTTGGCCCCCGTTGAATGAAATATGTTGTTTTTATTTTTTTCTTTGTTTTATAACAACAATGTTCTTGTTTTCAGAATCTGAATTATCAATAAAATTCTTTTAATAATATGCGATTCTATTTTGTTTTTTTTTGTTTAATGAAAAAAAATTAATTTAAGCGACAAATCTCTTACATTTAGAAAAATTTTCGATTTTCGAAACGAGTTGCTGTCAAAAGCGCATCTTCTCGTTGCTGCATATATTATTTTAAAGCAAACTGCTTGGCGCGTGTGCTTTTATATTTGAAAAGATTCAGAGAATTTTCAACAGGGAAATAAAGTTATTAATTTTACTGAATTTTGTGGATTCTTTGTGTTTTGAGGTAAAAGTCAAACCATCAGATATGTGATAACCTTAAAATAAGGGTATATATAATCAGGATTTTGCGGCCAGACATTCCCAGCGAAATACATTACAAAAAATTATCTATGTAGAATTAAT